ACATCGACAACTTCAACAACAACAGAATCAACAACCACTTCAACAACATCAACAACTTCAGAAACAACATCGACATCATCAACAACATCCACAACAACAACTTCAGAAACATCAACAACATCATCAACTTCAACAACAACAACATCAACAACAACATTCACAACAACAACTTCATCAACATCCACTTCAACATCAACCACTTCAACATCAACAACATCCAAAACAACATCCACTACATCATCATCAACAACATCAACATCAACAACAACAACTTCAACAACATCCACAGCAAGCACAACAACATCCACCACATCATCAACAACGACTTCGACAACTGCAACAACAACAACTTCGACAACAGCAACAACCTCAACAACAGCAACAACAGCAACAACGACAACGACAACAACAGCAACAACAGCAACGACAACAACAACAACTACAACTGGCTCACCGAGTGAGTATTGTGTTATATTATTTGTAAACACTCAGACGATGATCAATAGAAATAACGATATCTGAAAAGTTTTAATTTTAACTATTGAATAATCGCTATACAGATACACGACATTAGAGAACATTTCCTATCAGAAGTCGAAATCGAGCAAATGTATCATTATTCGATTCGATCTACGTTCATTTAAGTATCAAATATTCTTTTCCTATCCGACAGTATGAGAAGAAAACACTGTTGATAAAAAGATTTTCATACAATAGAACTCATTGTGTATTTTAGTAATCGCTTACACCCACCCACTCTCAAAATGATCGGAGAATAATTCTACACGTTGAATTATTAGTTGATATAATATCGATATGAGACATGTCTATCAACACTTAACCTCATCTTGCAAGTCGCATTTGTATAGAGTTGACTAATTCAAACAAATATCGTAGAAGTATAAAATACACGCTTCAAATTTGAGTAAAACGCCTTTATCATCGTCAATTAACTCTTAGTGTACTGATTTTCTCATGAGAACGATGCCCAAATTATATTTTCTTACTTATAGTTATCATCCTCATTGACATTCAGTCAAATTCTGAAATTCGATAATTATTCGTCATAACTAAAATGTAGAGCAATGTTTAAGTTTCATCCATTCGCAACATTGATAAAATTCAAAAAACAGTAATGAAATCGTTTATAATATATTTTTTATTAATTTGATTTAACATTTCATAATAAATCTTATATTAATTGTGAAAGCAAAGAAAGGTTTATCGAAGATTTGGAATCATTTGACTTGTCATCGGTTTATGCACATGAGAAATTAGAAGTCATTTCAAAAACAACATTTTTTCTCACTTTTCCATCTTATTTAGGATGGACAAACACAGGAAACATGAATTTCGCACGACAATCCCATACAGCAGTCACATTAGCAAATGGATCTGTATTAGTTGCTGGTGGACAGAACAGTGGTGGTTATCTCTCTAGTGCTGAATTGTACAATCCGTCAACAGGCACTTGGACAATAACAGGAAGCATGAATTTCGCACGATGTTATCACTCAGCATCCATATTAGCAAATGGATCAGTATTAGTTGTTGGTGGACAGAACAGCGTTGCCTATGTTAATGCTG